CTACTGTGGCTACGACTACGACTAGGACTGGGACTGTTACTGCCAGATCTTTCATTATTGGGAGAATTTGCACGTGTGTCATTTTTTTTAGAGTCGCTTTCTACGTCGTTGCAAACAAAATAAAAGTACAAAGTTAAAAACTCCATGATACTTTACTAAAAAAAAATTTTCAACCGTACCTTCGTTATTACCTTCTTCATTTTCAGATTTATTTTGTAAATTATCATCTTTCTCTTTATCGCTATCGTCTTTATTGCTTTTTTTATCACTGTCTTTGTCACTTTGATTGTCACTTTCATCTCCTTCGTCTCCTTCTTCACCACTTTCTTTGTTTTCTTCATCTGAAATAATATTAACATGTTATTAATAACAATAATAATAAAAAAAACTGTTTTATAAAAAAAAAAAAAAAATTATATTTTAACCGGATTCTTTTGACTTTTCTCCAGTTCTAGTAATAGTAACAGTTTCCGGTTCCAATTCAGGTTCTTCTTCATCCTCTTCTTCTCCTGGATGTTCTAATTGTTTTTCTCTAAATCTTTGCATTTTATATTCTACTTCATTAATTGGCCTATGCTTAATAACTAGTCTTGTATTACTCGGAGCTTGGCCAGGTTTTTGTCTTCTCTTACTTAAACGTACTCTGATAAAAAAAAAAAAAAATGCATTTTTTTTCCAGAGAACAAATTTAAATTTGTGAAAAAAAAGATAAAATTAACAAACCTTGTCTCCAATTCATTATAATACATTCCACCCTCTCTAACTACGAGGAAGTAATTTTCTTCATAACCTTTGGATGCTTTATTTTTTACATTCCAATTATATTCCCTAGCCATTTTATACTCATATTCTTGATCATCCTCATAATCAATATTATTCTGAATGTCTGCTTTTCTTTTAGCTAATGTTTCTTCTGTGGGTAAGAAATAAGCTACAAATTGTTCTCCAGATTCATCCATCACTCCCCTTATCATAGCTTGCGACATTTCTTCTAATTGAGCCGGAACAGATCTACCAACAGGAGCAGGATCAGAATCAAATATTACTTGAGCACAAGGATATTTCCAGCCCTAAAAATAAACAAATAATATATAAGTAATACCTCACATTATTATTATTATTATTTTCATAAATAATATTTAGAAATAAAACATACATCAAAATCTGGAAACACTGGCAATATTTCAATAGGATAAACATTTGGTTTACTGTAATGTTTTTCAATGGGTTTGAGAGAATCTTCAAAAGTTTTTTCAATAGCTCTGATTTGACTTTCTCTGTCCATTATTAAAGGATCTTCTTTAAAGTTCTTTTTAATACTATAACCAACTTTTGCTTCAACTTTATCCATTGTTTGGGGTTGAAATCTAAAAAAAAAAAAAAAAATGTATGCATATAATTTTGTTAAACAGAGAAAAATTTTTTATTTAATGAATTGGATTTTAAATTTACCTAGTTTGTTCTGTTGAAATATATTCAGTTCTTCTAAGCCAAGACACACTGCGAGCATGATGCCTTGACCTAATGGAATCCTGTGGAGTAAGAACATCTTCTTCCAATAATTTTTCATCTGCTGGATCCAAAGTGGCTCCAATTTCTGCATTGTAAGCATCTTTATTAATTAAATCTATTGTTACTCCAAGATCATGTTCTGTTAAAACTTCATACTTGTAGTTTCTCTCTAAAGTAGTTGGCTTATAAGATATAAAACGAGCGGCATCAAAGGGATATTGAATAAATTTGGGATCAAAAGGAATATCCGGTAGAGTATTACAGTATTTTATCCTACAAACTAATTCAGTTCTAAAACAATAAAAAAAAAACACACATAAATTAAATGTTATTTTATTACTGTAATTAATTAATGAAATAGTAAACTGTATTTAACGCCAATATTATAAAAACAATTCCTGTAATTAACTAGTTTAAATACCTTTTTTCTGCATTTCTACTTTGTCTTTGATCCCTGTCAGGCACTTTATTGGTCTGAACAGTTGGTGCCATCGTGAAATATTTTTAAAATTACTTTATTTAACTATAATTATTGTTTTTCAGTCATCTATCTTTAAAATTAAAAATTTGAATACACTTTACAATACATACTTCACAAGCATAGAGTTAAATACAACAAATGAAAGGTAAAAAAAAAAAAGTCATTTTTATCTTAATTATTTTAAAATTTTGAAGAAAAAATTAAAATCATAAAATTTTTTTGAAAGAAAAAATAAGTAATAAAAATAATAATAATTTTTTAATTCTTAAAAAATAAATTCTATTAAGTATTTCTTTTTTGACGAGCGTAAAAATTCGTTATACACTCTATGGTTTAAAATTGGTACAGAAAGCACGGTACATGTGACTTTTATTTTAAAACAAAGTTACTCTGTATTTGATCGTTTTAATGATATTCTTAAATATTTGCTATTTTTAATTTAAAGAAATATGGGTAGAAAGGCAAGATTTAATGATGGAAGCAAACCAAAGTCTGGACCAGGAAGAAAAGCTAGAAAACAAAAGGATCCAGTATTTCCTCGATATTTATTCAGTAAGTTTTCAATATAGAATGTAAGTTTTTAGTAAATTGTTATATTTACATTTAATTTAAATTTAGGTGACGATACGGACAAAACCAATACTAAAAAAGGAAACAAATTTCTTTCTGGAGGAAAAAAGAATAAACTTGCGAAAAAAAAATCTTTGAATAAAAAGTTGCTAACTAGTTCAGAAAATAACCATATCGTGAATGGGGTTTCTTCACCTGAAAGAGTAAAAAAAAAGATACCCACAAAGAAAACCACAAAGGTCTTGAATGAAGAAGAAAATCTAGAATCAGATAATGCAAGTGACTTGAGTAGTGATTTGGATTTGCAAGATGATTTTAGTGGTGATTCTGATGCTTCTGAAAGCAGTCCTGATTCGAATTCATTGAAAATTGGAGAAAGCAAATCAGAAAAACAAAAATCAAACATTCAGCTTAATATTGGCCATAATGACATATTCACTTTTCCAAGTGAAGAAGAAATGGAAAATGTTCAAAGTCTGTCAGATGTACAACAAAGAATTAAAGATGTTCTCATAGTACTGTCTGATTTTAAAAAATTTCGAGACGAAAACAGAAAAAGACAAGATTATATTGACTTATTAAAAAGAGATCTATGTTCATATTATTCCTATAATGAATTTTTAATGGAAAAATTTATGAATTTATTCGAACTCAACGAACTTTTAGAGTTTTTAGAAGCTAGTGAAGTACATAGACCAGTTACAATTAGAACAAATAGTTTAAAAACTCGAAGAAGGGATTTGGCACAAGCATTAATAAATAGAGGAGTTAATTTGGATCCATTAGGAAAATGGACCAAAGTAGGTAAGAATTTTTTTTCGTTATCAATATTTCTCCATTTTCTATTTTTTCTTTATTTTTAAATGAAAAATAAATTCACAATTTTTTTTTTTTTCTTGTAGGTCTTGTTATTTTCTCAAGTCAAGTTCCGATTGGTGCAACACCTGAATATTTGGCTGGGCATTATTTAATACAAGGAGCATCTAGTTTATTACCCGTTATGGCACTGGCTCCTCGTGAAAACGAAAGGATTTTGGATATGTGTTCTGCTCCCGGAGGAAAAGGTTCACATATTGCAGCTGTCATGAAAAATACAGGAGTACTCGTTGCAAATGATGTTAATGCTGATAGAAACAGAGCAGTAGTGGGAAATTTTCATCGTCTTGGAGTTTCTAATTCGATTATTTGCAGTTATGATGGAAGAAAACTTCCGACAGTTTTAAAAGGTTTCGATAGGGTTTTGCTAGATGCTCCGTGCACTGGAACAGGAGTAGTTGCAAAAGATCCAACTGTTAAAACGAGTAAAGATGAGAAAGATATACAAAGATGTATTAATCTTCAAAAAGAATTAATTTTAGCAGCAATTGATTGTTTAAATCCTAATTCTGCTAGCGGAGGTTATTTAGTTTATTCCACTTGCTCCGTGTTGGTATGTTGGTTTTTTTAAAAATAAAAAAAAACAGTAGTTATTTATTGTAGTTTTTTTATTTATCTGTTTTAAAATAATTTTTAATTATTATTATTATTATTATTATTAGGTTGAAGAAAATGAATGTGTTGTCGAATATGCTCTAAAAAAAAGAGATGTTAAATTAGTACCCACTGGTTTAGAATTTGGTGAGCAAGGTTTTGTAAACTTTCGAGGAAATCGTTTTCATTCTACAATGAATTTAACGAGACGATACTACCCGCATTCGCACAACATGGACGGTTTTTTTGTGGCAAAATTGAAAAAGTGTTCGAATGCAATAAAAGGAAATAAAAAAAGTAATGACGCGCTTTCAAAAATATTTTTTTTTGTTTAAAGTTTTTTTTTAAAGCTTTTAAACATCACCAATAATAATTTTTTATTATTATTATTATTTACATTTTCAGATGAAGAGGAAGAAGAAACCGAAACGTTTGTTGTTGAAAACGTTGAAAATAACGTTCAAGTAAATAAGAAGACGTTAAAAAAAAGAAAAGCTGAAAAAAATATGGAAAACGTTTCGAATAAACGTCAAAAAAAAGAACCGAAAGAAAATAATAAATCTCCTCATAATAACTTAGTCAAAGTCCTTACAAATTCAAAAACAAATAATATGAAGGGAGTTAATACTTTAAAGAAAAATAAGAAAAGAAATGATGTGTCAAGTCCGAAAATCGTGGAAAAAGAGGAAATCGAAGGGGTGGATGATATTTCAACCCCAAAAATAATAAATTCTTTGAAAAAAAAGAAAAAAACCGTATTGAGCTCTCCCATAAGTGGTTCGTTTATTGTTGAAGACGTGACGGATTCCGGTAATTCGAATACGACTCCGAGTAAAAAACCTTTAAAAAATAAAATGTCGCCCACGAGTAAACGTCCATCGTTGAAACCTTCGGAAAAAAAAGAAATTCAAAAAAAATTAGGAATGAAAGTGGAAAAAGAATTGAATAAATGGATAGAAGAAGAGCGCAAAAAACAAAAATAATAAATTATTATTATTATTATTATTATTATAAATAATTAATATAATTTTATTATTATTGAAATTATGTATAAAAAAAAAAATGTCAATTTTTTATTATTATTATTATTATTATTATTATTTTTTCTGGCCCAATTTATATAAAAAGGTAGAAAAAATAATAATTTATGGTTAATAATGTAAATTAAATTAATTAATTTTTCCTATTTTTCAAAAAAAAAAATTCCACAAAAAATATTATTATTATTAATAAATATTAAATAAAGTATGAAATAATCGAGTCGGAGAGACATGAAATTTAAATTTTTTTTTTTTTTTTAAATGCGTGCTACGAAATCAAAATTTAAATCAGGTACAGTTAGGTATTTGTATATGAATTCATGTGTTAACTTAGTTTGAAAGCTGACGGACGAACATTTGGTAAAAATGATTTTTATACATTCGTATATTACGGTTTATTTATTATTATTATTATTATCATTAATAAATTTAGGTAAATATAATTTTATTAGTTCTTTAATAAGTTTTAATTATTTAATTAAAAAAGGGATTATTTAACTTTTCAAAAAAAAAAAAAAAAATGTTTTCAACAGGTACTTCAAATGGGATAAATTCAGGTATCGATTTGATGGAATTACAAAATGATTTATCATTAGGTACAAGTCAAACATCATCGGAATGTAAATGGAAAACCGTTTATGATAACGTCTCGTGTCCAGATCCTGACATAAATTATTATTATTATTCAGGGTTTGTTATTTTTTAATAACCTTATACTAAATACCTGTTTAAATAACTCTCATTTGTACTTTTTTCAGGTTGAACGACGATGAAAAAATTAAAATAAATTTATTGGAAAAAAATTTCCTACAGGAAACTTCGTGGGATCCCCACAAACACAATTTGGTATACATTCACGGCTACGGTGGTGGTGGTGGGGGTGGGGGTGGTGACACCGATGAAGTTTTTCCAACTTCCATCATAAAAAATGGTATGATAAAAAAATTTTCCGAGAAAAATAAGGTACGATTAAAATTTTAATTAAAAAATTTTTAGCTTACATAAATAACGGATCGTATAATTTATTTATCGTCGATTGGAGTCCCCTTTCTAAACCTCCATGTTATTTATCATCCGTTTATAATTTAAATAAAGTATCCAAGTGCACGGCAGAATTATATAAAATGATTCGTTCCATGGGAATATCATCGAATGGTATCACATGTGTTGGTCACAGTTTGGGAGCACACGGTTGCGGATTAATTAGCAAACATATTGATTTTAGAATGCATCGTATAATTGGTAAAAAAAAAAAAAAAAGAAAATTTTGTAAAAGGTTTCAAGCGTGAACCTGAAATATTTTTTTGTTAAATAAAGGTCTCGATCCGGCCGGTCCAATGATAACAAGTATGACAAGATTAAAATCGGAAATGGCAAACGACGTCCAAGTAATATACACGAATGCTGGAAAATTCGGTGATATTTTCACCGATGGAAAAGTTAATTTTTGCATAAACGGAGGAAAAATTCAACCGAAGTGTAGAAATTCAGGTACGTTCAATTAAGAAAACATTTTTGGAATTTTTATGTGAAATCGTGTAACGAATTTTTAATTCCATTAGATATCGGTATGGATTTATGTAGTCACATGGCTTCCGTATGTTATTTGGCAGAAAGCGTTGATGGTACCATTGCACGAGTGGCTAAACCATGTGCTAGACAATGTCCTTTTGGCCCTAGGAAAAGTCAAGGACCGATTAAAGCCGTAATAATGGGTCAAAACACACCGAACGGGTACATTTTATTAATTATTCAACTTATTAAATTATTTTTAATAATAATAATGATTTTTTTTTTTAAACAGAGTCAGCGGTTCTTATTGTTTACAAACAAACGAAACTCCATATTGTCCTAGGGAAGGAAATTTAAAAGGACATCCTTGGTGTTGTTTGAATGAAAATTAAAAATAAATAAATAAATAATCCGATCGTTATTTTAAATTTTTTTTTTATTTTGTTTCTTTTGAAAATAAACAAAAATTACCGTTAAGTTTTTTTTTTATGATTTTAAAAATAAATTTTTTATTAAGAACAATGACCTTTGTAAACAAAAACAAAACACACACGCACGCACGTGGTTTATGCATTTTTTATATCTTGTCACATAATAAGTACCTACGGGTACTTATTGAATTCATTATCGAATTCTAATTTTTACATGACACGTGCACAAAATAATTAAATAATTTTATTTTTTACTCTTTACTTAACTGATTGATTGATTGTTTTTAAAAATCATTTTGGGAAAAAAATATGGTAAAATTTTCATTTGGGAATCAATCAAAATTTTATCATGTAAAAAAAGGGAAAAAAAAAACTTGAACCCAATCATTTATTTTTTTAATAAAATTTATTTTTTTTTTAATATTAATAATAATAATAATTACATTTATTTTTAAAATAAATATGTATGTATTAAATAATAATCAAAGGTCAGATAAAGATAAAAAAAAATATTTTATTAAATTTTATTTTTAAACAAATAATAAATGTTTAGTTTTAAAAAATTTCACTTTGTTTTTTTTCATTCATTTTTAATATTAAAATTTTATTAAAAAAAAAAATTTAAAATGAAAAAAATAAATAAATTAATTTTATTAATAATGAACGTTTTAATAATTTTTTGTCATGGGATAAAAGGAAATTCATTTCCGGATGATTTTTTTTTCGGTTTTGCAACAGCAAGTTATCAAATCGAAGGCGGATGGAAAGATGATGGTACGTGTGAAAATTTTTTTTTTTTTTTTTTTTTTATTTTAATCAAAAATAATAATAATAATAATTTTATTTTAGGTAAAGGAGAAAATATTTGGGATAGATTGGTACATAATGATAATGAAAAAATAAAAGATGGATCGACTGGAGACATTGCTTGTGATTCATATCATTTATATAAAGAAGATGTTCAATTGTTAAAAAATTTAAACGTTGTTACTTTTCTCTTGGGGGGGGCGGGGGGAAGTGTTATTATCAATAAAATCCTTTATCTTGAATTTTTTTAGGCTGACGTTTATAGATTTTCTTTATCATGGTCAAGAATATTACCTAATGGAGATTTATCTAAAATCAATCAACCTGGAATTATCTATTATAAAAATTTATTAAATGAATTGATAAATAACAACATAAAACCGATGGTATCATCTTTTTATTAAATAATAAATAAAAATTAAAACAATTTTAACCGTTAAAAACATTTTTAAATTATTATTAATTAATTAATTAAGGTAACTTTATATCATTGGGATTTACCTCAACCCTTACAAAATTTGGGTGGTTGGACGAATCCAATAATTGTTGATTATTTTGAAGATTATTCAAAACTTGCCTTTCAAGAATTTGGAAATATGGTAAAAGAAAAAATTTGTTTATTATCATTTAAAAATAAATAAATAAATAATGTTTTAATAAAGAAACACACACACACACACAGGTTAATTGGTGGATAACATTTAACGAACCTTTTGAAATATGTAAAAACGGTTATGGAGAAAATTCAAATGCTCCTGCACTTAATATGTCCGGAAAAGCTGATTATTTATGTGCACATAATATACTTAAATCTCACGCACGTGCTTTTCATGTTTACGATGAAATATTTGCAAAATCCCAAAAAGGTTTGTATTAAATAAATAGATAAAATAAAAAGATTTTTCCCATTGTTTTGATTTTTTTTCAGGTCAGGTAGGCATTACACTAAATGGTGGTTGGAATGAGCCATTGACAGATTCAGAAGAAGATAAAATGGCTGCTGAAACTGCTCTGGAATTTTCCGTAATGTTAAATTTTTTTTTGTTGTGATAAGATATTTCTATATAAAAGTTTATTTTAATAACAAAAAAAAATGAATTTTTTTTTTTGTTCAGATTGGTTGGTTTCTTCATCCTATACTTGGACCAGGAGGAGATTATCCAAAAATAATGAGAGAAAATATAGATAAAAATAGTAAGAAAGAAAATTTACCGAGATCAAGACTTCCAAATTTCGACAATTTTTGGAAAATACACATTCAAGGTAATAATTTTCTTACATCTTGCCATTAAATATATACTTTTCACACCTAAAAACCAAAATTTTTTTTTTTGAAAGGAACTCTTCATTTTCTTGGTGTAAATCATTATTCTACTTACCTTACGACACCATCCAACGAAATATATCCTGTTCCATCTTATATGAATGATTTAGGAGTTTCTTTTAGTCAAAATTCATCATGGCCTCCTTCTAGTGCTTCTTGGTTAAAAGTCGAACCGATCGGATTTCGAAAAAAATTAAATTGGATTAAAAATTACACACGTAATTTTCCAATCATAATCACCGAAAACGGTTATGCAGACGATGGAAAACTCTGCGATACAGAAAGAATTAATTATCATTCGGTAAATATTGTTTTAAATTAATATCCTCGCGAAAAAAAATAATAAAATTAACCATATTAATTTTCAGAAATATTTAAACGAATTATCGAAATCAATTTTGATTGATGAATGTAATGTAATGGGATACGTTGCTTGGAGTTTATTTGATAATTTCGAATGGAATGACGGTTACAGGTTATTAAACGTTAATCATTATTATCATTTATGTATATCAAAATTAAAAACAATGATTTTTTCTATTACAGTTTAAAATTTGGAATATACAACGTTAATTTCACGCATCCCAATCGTATTAGAAAAGCAAAATCATCCGTTGAATTTTTTAAAAAATTAATAAATAATCATACAATTGAACCATTATTAAATTAATAAATCGATAAAATTGATTTCTTACATATTTTTTTACCTTTTTTTTCGAGATTATCATTTCTTTCATCAAGTCATGTAACTACAAACAAATTTTTCTAAATCCACTGCCATTTTTTTCTTTTAATTGAATAAAACCGTTAATAAGGTCATAGAGATAAAAAACGTTAACGCATGATAAATTTTAAAAAAGCGCAATTGCCATTGACATTGGATAGTAATTATCGCGGTTTGACAATTACTTTTATTTTTTTTACTTATGTTAAAAAAAAGACAATTAGTTTTATCGTAATTAGTAGTATTTTAAAATTGTAAAAAATGTATTATTACTTTATAAAATTAACAATCAATCTAATCATCTTATTTTTCTTTCTTTCTGTTTAATAAAATTTCATTAATTAAAATTATGCACGTATAAAAAACAATGGTGAAAGAAAAATTTATTTAAAATAAAATATGATACTTCTGTTGTTAAAACTATTCTTTAATTGGTCATGTAAAGAAAAATATCAACGACAATAATTACCAAATAAAAAAAAAAAAAAAGCAGGAAAATACAAGTAAGTACCTTCTAATCAAAAGACAGACCTAAGTTAAGGCATATCTTCTTAAAAGTACCCTACTATTATTTTTTTTGTTAAAAATGTAAATTAATTTGATCTAATAGGACACCGTTGTAAAGAATGTGGGGCTTGACCAATCAAAATTTAAACATTATCAAACCATTTCCTGTATTCAAAGGTTATAAAAAATATGTGCCAATACCTCCAGGTATGATATCGTTAAAACATGGAGTCGAAGAAGTTTACATTTGTACTCTTGTTATTGTTGATAACCTTCGTTAACTCAGGTAAGCAAGAATTTCATTTAAAAAAATTTTTTTTAGGTTTTTATACCTGTTTAACGGTTTTTGTAAAAAGTAAATTACTTTCAGGAAAGTTGACGAACGTTAACAAAAACGATGAAGAAGAAGAAGACATATATAAGTATGTGGCCAAGCAAGACGTGATTGAATTTCAAAAACTATTGAAAGTTTTCGGTAAAGAATATGGTAAAAGTTGGACGGTGATTCCAGATGGTGAAGGTTTATCCCAACTTGCTTTACTGGAGGCTCCAGAATACGTTGGAAGAGCTGATATGAGATACGAACTGAGTGAAATGCCGGATGCCGTCAAATTGTTATTATACACACGGTAAAAAAAAAAACAAAAGTATCGAAAAATTATTAATGTATTAATTATTTACACATATGTAATTTAAATAAATTATTTAGTGACGTACCTGAAGGAATTCCAATCGAACCAAACACACTGGAAATTTCCGATTATGATTCTTCAAAGCCAACAAAAATTATTTGTCATGGATGGATGGCGAGTTCCAATTCATCAGTTATAAAAGGAATTAAAGATGGTATTTTATTTTTTAATAAAGATACACAATTAAAATAAATAATTAAATAATAAAATTGAATAAATTTCAAATAGCTTACCTGGACAATCAAAATGTCAACGTTATCGGAGTGGACTGGAGCACAATATCAAATGATTATTTTTATCCAAATGCAGCTGGAGCAGCTATAACAGTTGGAAAATATTTAAGTTCCATAATTGATTCGTGGGTAAAACAAGGAACAATGAAATATAACGATATCCATTTTATTGGTCATTCTTTGGGTGCACATGTTAGTGGTTTTACCGGACAATACACCAGACGAAAATTAGGAAGAATTTCAGGTATCTAAAAAACAAAACTGATGTTTTTTTTGTTGTTAATCACAACATTGCTAATTTGTTACAATTCAGGTTTAGATCCTGCACTTCCTGGTTTTCAACTTGGTAAAGGTCCTAACGACAGATTGGATCCCACCGATGCTAATTTTGTAGATGTGATACATACAGCTGCTGGTATACTTGGAATAAGTATAACTGCTGGACACGTTGATTTTTATCCAAATGGTGGAACTCCTTTTCAACCGGGTTGCAGCGTTAGTTGGCTACCTACTAGTACTCGTAAGATTTTTAAAAAAAATAAAACGTACGAGTAAAAATTAATTAATTATATTTCTCACGATTTTCTTTCTTTTTGATTTCCAGAGGCTTGCAGTCATGGTAGATCTCATGAATATTTTGCTGAATCAATACGAGATAATGATTTTAAAGCTGTTGGATGTTCGGATTGGGATCATTTTAAAAAACACAAATGTAAAAATATTTTTGCAACAATGGGAGAATACACATCACCAAAGGTTAGAGGATCATTTTATTTAAAAACAGACAGTAGCGCACCTTTTGCTTTAGGAATAAACGGTACACTTTATTAACCTTTTTTTTTGTTTTTCTTAATATAATTTTATTTATTCTTTTAATAAAAAAAAAAAAAAAAAATTATTAATAATAATTAATTGAAAATTAAAATTAATTTTATATGGTTTTATGACCAATAAAATAAAAAATATTTTACACACGCTATTGAGGTATTTATAAACAAAAAAAAAAGTACATAAATAAACGGGGGGGGGGGAGGGAGCAGGGAGATGAGTAATTTTGTTAATTTTTAAACCGGTACAAAAAAAACACATCGAATTTTATTTACGTATGTTAAAGTTTTTCTTTTTTTTTTTAAATAATAAAATTATTAATAACGGAAAATTTATTTTAACTAACAAATTCCCTCACGGATTTTAAAAAAATTTTTACAATTTAAAAATAAAAATCATTAAAATATATTTTCCCGCAAATTTTTTTTTTCTTCTTCTTTTTATTAATATTTCATTATCATTATCATTATTATTATTATTATTATTATTATTATTATTATTATTATTACGTAATATTATATAATGAAAATAAATTTAAAATTAAATTAATAAACCTTTAACAATTTTTATTATTTTTTTCAAATTTTATGTATAAAATATTTAAGTAAATAAAAAAAAAATAATAATAATAATAATAATAATTACAAACAGAATAATAATGTAAATCGAATAAAATATCAAACGTAAATTTTCGACGGGGGGAGGGGAGGTGGAGGTGGGGCTGTTTACAAACGAAAAAAAAAAAAAAAAGATTTTTTTTTCCTTTCTCATCGTTTTTACTACTATTACTACTCTATTTAAACATTATTTCATTATTTAATCTATATAACTTATTTCAAAAAAAAAAAAATAATAATAATAATAATAATCCACCGATAATTTTCATTAATAATAATAATAATAATAATTGGTTTTTTTTTAACATTTCGTTTGATTAATTAAAATTAAATACTAATATGATAAATTTTTTTTTTTTTTTGATCATATCTTGTGATCATCATCATTATTAATTAGAAAGCAGTCAAAGATTATAAGTAAACCATAAGGCATTTTTGTCTTTAAAAAAAAAAAAAAAAAAAAAAAAAATTGAATCCAATTTTTACTTTGAAATACTTAACACACATAAATACGAAAAATTTCAATTTTTCGATTTTCAATCGTTATCCACTCCGTTCATTCTGTCCGAATCTCTAGATCTGAAAAATTAATTATTTATCATTATTATTATTATTATTATTATTTGTGATTGTAAAGTAAAAGATGGTCATTTACAAACCTGCTTCTAGAATCTCGACTCCTCGATCTCTCACTAGGAGATCTAGACCTAGATCTTGATCTGGAATGAGACCTTGATCTGGATCTAGACCTGGATCTTTGATCGCTAGATTTTGAACGTCTGTCGCGAGATCGACTCCTTGAATTACTTCGAGATCTAGAATGTCTTCGAGGAGATCGAGACCGTGTGCGAGACCTGTAATAATAATAATAATAATAATTGAAAATGAAACATTCAAACTATATAAATATATATATATATATATCAATTGTAAATATGCGATAAAGTACCCTTACATTATTGATTGATTGATTGATTGTTATTGATTTTTGCTATTCGTCATTCACAAAAAAAAAAAAAAAAAAAAAAAAAAAAATGGAATGCGTGATAACCGTCTGTTTTTTCTTTCTTTATTTCTTTTAACAGCAAATTTTATTTTAATAATTTTCAGGGTATGCAAGTGTGGCATTTAAGAAGGTAACAATACCAAATATTAAAGTCGGTTAAATTTAATGTATTGTCTTGCAACAACTAGGTTGTTATATAGGAGATTTAAATACTATTATTATAGGAAGCGGAATAAATAGTTTTTAAAATTTTAAATTTAGTGTACACAATGCAAAACAGACTCTTAAATCAACAAGTCTGTTTTGAAGCTGATAAAAGATATATTGAATACAAGACTCACAGAGATTATAAGGCTAGACAACAACAGAGAGCAAGTACTGCGCCGATTAAAAACAAACGAAGCGGAGGAAGATTACAAAATAAACAAGTTCGGAGTTCTCTTCGAAGGATCACTACGAGATTACTACGAAGGATTACTCGAAGATTACTTCGAAGAGAAGACTCAGCCGATTCCCCTATAAAGTGGAGGAATAAACAATTTTATAAAAAATTTTTCCATTTTGGGGCTGTGATTGAATGACTAATAAATGATGTTGAAAATAAAAATTAAAAAATTAAAAAAAAAAAAAAAAAAAATCATTCAACCACAACAAATATTTTTTTTATATAATAACATAACCCAAATTTAAAGCTAAATAAAATACATGTATTTTATTACTGCTTAATAACCTTTTAAAATAATAAAACTTTTTAAAAAATTGTGAAATCATAAAAAATTTAATTGAAAATATGTTTTTTTTTAGTGTTATATTTACCTTCTTCGAGAACTTCTGTGCCTGTTACAATCCCTTGCATAATGACCTCTTTCTCCACATTCATAACATCTATCATCAGGATTGAAAGGTCTCCCTCTTCGTGGAGGAGGACCTCTATCTCTTCTTCTTCCTCCCATTCCATTTGAAGGTTCTACTCGAACTCTTCTACCACATACTGTTCTATTGTTGGAAATTGAATAATGCAAAAAGGTAAGAATGTAAAAACAAATTACCAAACCCCATTAAAAATAAAAAAATTAAATATAGAATTTTTTTTTTTTCAGATTATTAAAAATTACCTTCCATCCAAACCTCTCACGGCATCATCTGCATCTCTTGGATCTTCAAATTCCACAAAAGCAAAGCCGGGAGGATTTCTTGCTACCCAAACATTACGCAATGGTCCGTAGTAACCAAAAGCATCCTCAAGTTCTTGTTTAGATGCTGAAGATCCCAGATCCCCGACGTACACCTTGCAGTCTGATCCCGAATCTCGATATCTAGACATTTTAAATCTAGAAAAATTAAAAATACCGGTCTCTGAAATTTACAAATTAGAGGTTATGATTAAAAGCGTCGTTCTAAATCCGATAAAAACTTTAATTAAATAATATTATAAAGAAAACGTTTTTTAAAACGTTACGTTTAAAATATTTTAATTGTGAATAAAAATTGAAAGATTACCTATATATCGCTTAGTCACCAATTTTAGAAAAGATCACGTTTACTTTAACAATATACTTAATCATAGACTAAGTCAGATATGCCTAAAGTACGTTCAGAAATCCTTTTTTAAAAAAAAACTTTTAACGAAAAATGCCGGATGTAGTACAGCGCTCTTGAGGAAATCTTAAGCTAAAAAAATATTTTTTGTGTTCACTTAAACGGTATGGTAATAATTAAAATTATCATTTGGCCACATTCTTATTAATTTTTAATGCCGTGATATTTGATATCTAAAAAATTATACAAAATAAAATGCCTTTCTACAGCTTTGCCCGACTATTTTTTTTTTGTAAAACAAATCATTAAACTTAAAAGTTTCATAGAACTTTACAGTATAAAATATTAAAAAATTCTTTCTGCATGGAATTTTTGAAGATAAAATAATTAAGTTATAATAAAAGTTTTTCAAAAATAATAATAGAAAAATTTATAAACTCTATTAAGTCTAATGCATCCAAAAGTATTGAGAATATCATTTATGGCAAAAGGAAGTTAATTGTTTCAGGTTTAGGGGCTGAAAATTGCTAATATTTTAATATTATCGCATAATATTTTTATTAACTCATGTTTTTTTTTGATTTTGTGCATGTCAAAAATTGCTAATCAAAACGGGAGGAATTAGAAGTTTAAAATAAATTTTTGTGTAAAAAAAAAAGAGTCAAGTTGGAAACTTTCATAAATACAAAAAAAAATTTTATATAATTTTTTGCATAAATAGTAAATAATACAAAAAATTTATTATATAAAAATTTATTTATTATTATTTTTATTATTTAAAATTAAATTATTGGAATTATTTGAATTAAAAGATTGAATACAGAATTTAGTTTGATGTTTTAGTAGTTTAAATCAAGTTGCTGTAATGGCGAACATGTCATGAAGGTACCATATCTACTTTGTGGGCCTACAATGGAAGAAAATAGCCCATCTACTAACCATAATGGACAGATAGGACCAGCTTCTGGCGGTACAAATGTTGGTAGTAAACAAAATGAAGAAGGAAATCAGGGACCGCAATACTCAATACCAGGAATTTTACATTTTATACAGCACGAATGGGCTAGGTTTGAAATGGAACGATCGCAATGGGAAGTTGATCGTGCTGAATTACAGGTAAATTGTTTGTACAATAAAGAAATTCTTTCCATTAATTCAATAATCTTCACGGATTTTATTTATTTTTAAAAACTATTGGATATTTTTGAAGCACACATTTTTAATTATTAACAAGCCAGTTTTTAAATTAAATAATGTCATTCTTTGTTATTTGTTTTTTTTTTACATTCTGATTACAAAATTATTATTACAATCTAACATTCAAGTTATAAAACATTTTTAAATATAATTTTAATGAATTACATTGTGAATAAATTTAACTTATTGAGTTTTAGTAATGAAATTACCAAATGTATAATACTACTTGTTATTTAAAGTAATTTTCATAATATGTCTGATAATTCACATAAAAATTTTTTATAAAAAATTTCAATAAGCTTATTTATTAATTAAACTTTTATTTTGTGCTGTTTTCAGAAATATCAGGATATTTTATTTTTTGAGATCTTAAAAGGTTAAATTAAAACATTTTGAATTTTTAAGTAGTTCTTTATCAAATTTAAATTTTTATTTGTGTTGAATATAAAATCAATTTAAATCGAAAACATTTTTATAAAATTTAATTATAATTTCTAAATTTTTTAATAATAATATTTAATATTGACTAGTTATTTATTTCATAATTAAAATAATTATACTGAAATATTATATTTTTTATATACTGAAATAATAATTGTCATTATTAGTTATGCGAAATTTTCAAATTTTTTTTGCATGTAAATTTATTCGTGTCGATGTTTTTTATCGAGTACTTTTAGTGTACGATTGATTAAGCGGCTGCATTTTTTTTCTCAAACAATTTTAAATAAAAAGTTTTTTTTTTAAATACAGCCAAAAGACTTATTTGATGTTTGTTTAAATAATTAATATCATTCTCAATTATATAAATGTGTTAAATATGTTTTATTAAATTCAATTATAAAAATTACGAATAAAATAATCAATACAAATTAAAATCTTTTTTTAATTTTTTCATCATCATTGGAAAAATATTTTTTTTATTTTTACTTTTATTAAATTAATAAATCAAATTAAATTTATAATTTATGTTATTTTCAGGCAAGAATAGCTTTTCTTCAAGGTGAAAGAAAAGGTCAAGAAAATTTAAAACATGACCTGATACGTCGAATAAAAATGTTAGAATATGCTTTAAAACAAGAAAGGGCAAAATTTCACAAGTTAAAATATGGAACAGATATTCAGCAAGAAGATATTAAACCACCAACTGGAATATATGATGAAGGAGGTGAAACTGGAGTTACTTTGGACTCTGAAACTCCTTATTCAGCAGTTAGCAATATTACATGGAAACAAGGAAGACAGCTTTTAAGGCAGTAAGTAAAAAAATTAATATTTATTTTTTATATTTAAAAAAAAAAAAGTTTTTATTCGACTCTCTTATAGTAGTAATTTACATCATTTAAATAACAGTTAGTTTATGGTAAGTCATATTAAAATTGTTTAACAAGGTCATATAAATTTATTTTTCTCAGCATATGCTGTTATAAATAATATTTATTTTTTTAAAAATTTTTTCTTATGATGACACCTAATTTTTAATGAATATGTATTTTTTTTTTTTTTTTTTTAATATTTAAGATACTTGCAAGAAATAGGATATACTGATACAATCATTGACGTCCGATCAAATAGAGTAAGATCATTACTCGGATTAAATAATAATGCGGAAACGGAAGAAAATTTAAATAATCCTGGGGGGTCGGTGAATGGAAACGAAGCTTCGAACAAAAGAGCAAATGAAAATCAGGGCAGGCCCACTCCTGCCAAAAAGGTAGATTCCCTTTTTTTTATTTTAAACCATTTTAATTATTTAAGTTTTGACTATTATTATTTTTTTCTAGTCACAACCGTCTGTAACTGACGCGATGCAACGTCATAATAGGGAAGCGATGATGCTCGAAACAGAAGCAGCTATTATGGCAAATTTTGAATACTTAGGTCATGATGATGTAGAAATGGACGATGAGGATATGGGAGATGATTTGGAAGATCAAGATGATATTAAGTGTGCTAAACACAAGTCAAAGGTATTAAAGTAAATTCGAAAATTTTTTTTTATATATTTTAAAACTTTTTATTTTGAACTTTTTTTTTTTTTTTGTAGGCTCTAATTGACAATAATGACGTAGATCCGGAAGTAGAAGAAGTATTAAATGAATTCAGTCTTATAACTGAATCTGCAGGAGACGGCGTAGAATGGGATTCGTTTGCCAAAGGTTTTTCTTCTCATCGACCTGGGAAAGACGAAGATTTAGACTGTACATTGGGCTTGGGTGAATTGGCTCAATTAACTGTCAATAATGATGCCGAAGCTACATATGATGTTAGTTATTTAATTAAACTTTTTTTTTTTTTTTTACTTAGTTAAAGTTATTTTTGTATAATCGAATTTTATTGGATGCTTTATATTGATCCTTGAAAATAAGAATAATTGAATTAAATTGTAAATTTATTTTTGTACTCGAGTTCTAAAAGAACTTGGAAATAAAGTATCCAATAAAAATAAATGTAATTGTGGTGGGGAAATAATTGTTATCGATTAATTCTTTTTAATTTAAGGTTTCAACAAATAAAGAAGCTTTTCGAAAAACTTGGAATGCGAAATACACGCTAAGAAGTCATTTCGATTGCGTACGAGCTTTGGCATTTCATCCTGTAGAACCGGTATTAATAACAGCCAGTGACGATAATACTTTAAAATTATGGAATTTGCAAAAAACGGTTTTTGCTAAAAAGTTAGTTTTAATTAAAAATATTTTAATATTTTATTTTAATGAAAATGGGATGGGGAGCGTACATTTATTTAAAAAAAAAAAAAAAACTTTAAATTTCTTTTAATTTCAGGTCAGCATCATTAGATGTAGAACCCTTATACACTTTTAGATGTCATACAGGACCTGTTTTATCAGTGGTTATGAGTGCAACCGGTGAACAATGTTACAGCGGAGGACTGGATGGAGCCATTCATTGCTGGAATTTACCAAGTCCTAATGTGGATCCATATGATTCTTTCGGTGAGTTTAAAAAAAAATTTTATTTACGTTTTCACTTTAGGTAATTAATAATTATTGAATAAACTAAAGAAATTTAATGTTTCATTATTTTCCAGATCCGGAAGTTTTAATCCAAACTCTTAGTGGCCATTTTAATGCAGTTTGGGGATTACGTATACACTCTAGTAAACCTCATTTATTATCATTTTCTGCGGATGGCACAGTAAAACTATGGGCTCCCAATGTTAAAGACGCATTGTTAAATACATTTAAATCAGAGCAAGGTTGATTTTTAAAAAAAATTGACATTTGCAGTCGTAATAAAAATTTCGAAAATAATAATAATAATAACCATTTTATTTTACAGATGGGTCTCCGACATCGGTAGATTTTGTACGGGACGAAGCTAATCACATCGTAACCGCTTTTAGTTCGTCAAATTGTGTAATTTTTGACTGTGAAACTGGTAAACCCGTCGTACGGTTTGAAAATAATCAGGTAAGAATAAGTTTACCGGGGTTTTTTTTTTTTTTTTTTTTTTTTGAATAGTTATTTTATACTGAGAGAATTAAATTAAATGTTTTTATGAATGCGTAGGAGGGTTCAAATACTACACCGACAGAACGACTAATCAACAGAGTTGTATGTCATCCTTCGCTACCCTTAACAATCACAGCACACGAAGACAGACACATTCGCTTTTACGACAATAATAGTGGAAAATTGGTTCATTCGATGGTTGCTCATTTGGATGCGGTCAGTAGTTTAGCAGTCGATCCCAACGGTTTATTTTTGTTATCAGGAAGTAAGTTAATTGTCAGGAGGAGGATTAATTATATTAAAATTAAAATTTTCTTTAAAAAAAATTAATTGTGAATATTTTTAATAGGTCACGACTGTAGTATTCGTTTATGGAATTTGGATAGTAAGACGTGTGTTCAAGAAATAACGGCGCACCGGAAAAAATTCGATGAAAGTATTCTCGATGTTGCATTTCATCCATCGTCTCCCTATATAGCCAGCGCGGGAGCCGATGGACTTGCCAAAGTGTTTGTTTAAGGTAAAATTATTTTGTTTTTAAAAAAAAAAGGGGGGGGGGATTTTCATAAACAAATTTATATATGAATTTATGAATGTGAGTACATTTTCAGATTGATTTGGAACCTAAATATTAACGAGAAAAAGTATTTAGTGTGATAAAAGAAGGAAAAAAAAAAGGAAAAAAAAAAAAGAAAAAAAAAAAAAAAAAAAAAAAAAAATTTGAGCTGGTGGGAAATAATCGTGGGTCGAAGGAAGGAAAACGTACTTAGTAGATGGACAAATGTATTAATTATAAAACGCTAAATAGTCGTCGTCGTCGTATTTGCTTTTATATTTAAACATATTTTACACATTAACTTAACACAAACAATGAAAGAATGCTCTTTTTTTTGAAGGGAAGAAAAAGAAAAACAACAACAAAAAGGTATAAAATATATATTTTTGGTATTTTTAATTTACAAAAAATAAAAAAAAATTAAAAAATCTGAAAGGAAAGTAGGCGCATTGTAATAAATATATATTAAAATTACAAATTGTATCGTTTTATAATTTTATGTACTGTATAAATATTAATATTTATATTAGGTAAAAGTCAATGGTCGGTAATAAATCGGTTCACAATTTTACTTTGAAAAAAAAAAAAATAATGTAATCTGGCAGATCAGGTTATAATAAATAAAATAAATAAATAAACCATAGGAAAGAAGTATGGTAAAACAAATAAAATTTAATTATTAGTATGCAGTGGAAAATCTTAGTATATTTTTCAACAAAAAAAAAAAAAAAAAAAACCAATTTTACATTGCTTTCTTTTCTCTCATTAATAATATATTTATTATTATTTTTTATCATAATTTTATTTATTAATTTTTCAAATATGTTTTTTTTTCTCTCTCTCTCTCTCTCTCAATTGTATAAGTATAAAAAAGAAGAATAAAGAAAGAAAAGAATATATATAGATATATAAATGTTTCATTCGTCAAGCAATATTTTTTCAATAAAAAATTTTCTTTTTAGCAAATTTATTAAAAATGTAGAATAAATAAATAAATAATTATTATTATTATTAGTGAACAACTTTTGTAGACGTCAAAATGGGAAAAAAAAAAAAAAACGAAAATAAAAAGGAAAAAATGAAAGTGTAAAAAAATATAAAATCAAATTTTAAAACTTCGGCCAATATTATTATTATTATTTAAAACTAAACTAATATTTAAATTAGAATTTTCACGTAGAATAAAAAATAAATAAATATTATTATTATTTTAAAGGATTTGTTCGTGGAAAGCCTTTTTTATTATTATTATTATTATTTTGAAATAATTTAATGTCTGATTACTTTTTCGATTATTTTTTTTTTTTCTTTAAATAATTATTAATTGTAAAATTAATTTTCGATTAATAACTTTAAAAAAAAAAGTTTATTATTATTATTATTATTCTATACACATTATATTTATATTATTTTTGAGAATTTTTTTTTTTTTTTTAAAAACAAAATATTATATTATTATTATTATTATTATTATTATTATATTATTATTATTAAAAAACAAAATTCAAACCGAAAGGCTTGATAAACTTGTAAAAATTTTGAATTTAAATTATTATTATTATTATTATTAATATTAATTAATTTTAATTGAGGAATGAATGAATGAAAAATTATTATTATTATTATTTAATTTGGCTAATTACGGGTGGAAAATTATAATTTTCGTTTAATTCATAAATTTTTTTAATTTAATTTAGTTTTGATGAGAAAAAAATTAGGTTTAAAATATAGTTATTATTATTGTGAATATTTGCTATGAAATTAGACCAAAAATGTATTCTCTCTCTCTCTCTCTCTCTCTCTCTCTCTCTCTATCTCATTGTATGTTATGTGTAATCATTTTTTTTTTTTTTTTGGTTTGCAGTCATTTTGAATAAAAATCCATGCTTGTAAGTCGAGAATTTTTTTTAAAAAAAAGGTTATTTGGGTTTATTTGCAACACATATTTTAAACCTATTTATTTTTTCAAAAAAAAAAAAAAAAAGAAAAAAAATTGATTGTAATAAATAATAATTGTGGTGAACTGGTTTTATTAGAAAAAATTTTCCCACCAGCTTACACCATTAACTAACTAACTGTCTGTATATAATTATATATAAATATATATATATATATATATTTATAACTTTTTAATGATACATAAAAAAAAATATTAAGTTCATCTAGACGAATATTATTATAAACTCTTTCAATTATTCTTTTGCTTTCATCCCCCCCCCCCGATTTTTTTTTTTAACAAAAAAATGTAAATTTTTTTTTTTTTTTTTTTTTTTACGACTGATCAATTATTATTATTATATTTGATAAATATTTTTAATCGCTATCTTGTTGGCATTTTATATAAATAAATGCCGCAAAAAAAAAAAAAAATTATGATTTTATTATTAAGTATATCATTTGTTTTTTTTAAAACTCAACTATCATTATTATTCTTTTTTTTTTTTTTTTTTAAATTTTTGCCTTATTTTTATTTATTTACTCTTGATCAATAATATCGACCATTATTTAGTATATTATATAAAATGATTTTCTTAAAATAATGTTTTTTTATTATTTTATTACTATTAATTTTTATTTCCTTTTTTTTTTGAATTAAGTTTTTTAACGTCCGTTAAAATATAATTTTTTTATTAAATTTTTTTTTATTTTTTGGGGGGTTTTTGATCGATTAATATATTTATTATTAAATAATTAATTAATTATGTTGTTAAAAAATGTTTTTCATACGTTAGTTTTACGTTGTTTTATGAAAAAAAAAAAAAAATTGAAATTTTGTTTTTGTTTACTTAACGGATTATAAAACTATTATGAGTTTCCGCCATATTTAAAAATGGCGTCGATTTTGTTTTGAAACTAAAAAAGACGTGGCAATAGTTTATACGTTTCCCTCCGTTAAAACTGACATCGAAAAACATCTCATTATTATTTTTTTTTTTTTTTTATAAGTAGGTTTAAAATAGTTTTTATTAATTTTTTATGAATTTATAATTATTAATCAAATGTTTAAAAGTTATTTATTTGTATGTTTATAATTGTAAAAAAGAAAGTGAATAATTTTTGAAAAAAATATTTAAATTTTTTTTAACAAGTAATCGATTATGGTGGCTTCTGTTGGATGTTTGCGTAAACTGTCAATTCTTTGAAACGGCGCAGTATTCTTCGATAGAGAGGATCAAAAAAAAAAATACTTGTGATAATAATATGAAGTTTTTTTTATTTAAATCTCAGTTAAGGATTATTACAATAATGGAGTTAATGTTTGTTAAAATCAAGTTATTAAATACTCATAATTTACATGTGAAATATGTCAAAAGCTAATATTTTGATTTTTTTTTTTTTAATATAAATAAAATTTTAAAAAATCATTACAGGTATTTAAAAATTAATATGTACTTAATTATTATTATTATTTTTTTTTAAAATTTATGTAATTAATTATTAACTTTGTTATAGTAAAAAATAAGTGTTGAAAAATGGGTTCATTACCAAATCTTCGTTCGTTATCCAGTGATCCGAATACAGTTTATCAATATGAATTATGTGACCCAGAAAATGATGATATGTCTACAAAATCTGAAAGTCAAAAGAAAATATCGAAATTGAAAGGTGAAAAAAATAGTAATGTTGAATCGTTAGGAGAAATGAATAACATACAAATTTCAAATTTTCATCCACAACAAGGGTAAGATTTCATTTTAAACTCTTTATGTGAATCATTACTTATTAATTGAATTATTATTATTATTTTTTTTTAATATGATTTATTTTAGTTTTCGTCATAATTTAAATCAAATTCAACCTCATCATCATCATCATAGAGTGAGACATACAAGAAGTAGTGGTTCTCAATATAATAATCAAATGCCGAGCACTTATGTTAACTGGGATGATTATTTACTTCAGGTACATCGTGCAGCTTCATTTCGATTTTATTATTACAAGACTTATACCTTTACCTTTTCCCAATATTTAATTGCCTTTCTTTTCTTCCTTAAATGCAATTGTAAATTTAAAAGAAGTTATTTTTTTTTAGCTGAGATTATCAAAATACTCACCAATGTCTAGTAGATCTTCTAAATCGAATACTACTTGGACAGCAAATAATACGCTTTATAATTTTCATCGTGGATCTACACGAAGAAGAGATTCTTTATCAAGGTTTTTATTCAGATAAATTTATTAATAATATTTTTTGAAACAATACATAAATAAATTTGATTTTTTTTAGCTCTGGAGGTGCCAGTTCTGTACGGAAATTAATTGCCGTCGTTCGTTCAACTCCTTCAAGATTAGGACCAGTATATTCGAGAAAAGTTTTATGTCGAAATTTTGCCGCACTTTGCTTAGGTCATTTCACTATCACAGCTGCATTACTGCCTTTAATGTCTTTACAATCTTCTGTCAGTACATGGTGGTGGCCACAAAATTCATTATTTCAATCATCAGATATTGGTTCACTTTTACTTTCAGCATCTTTTGCCATTGCTAGTATTTTTACTCTAATAAGTCCCATAATTATACACTTATTAGGATGTAATTGGACTTTAGTTTCCGGTGAGAAAAAGTACCTCAACTTGTTTAAAATTTTTTTTTTTAACTAAAATTACACATTTTATTTATTAATTGTAGGTTATGCCTGTATAAGTGTATTCTTCGTGGCGCATCTTTATCCAACATTACGGTGCTTGATTCCAGCTTACTTACTTCTTGGAATATGCATTGGTCCAATAACGTGTGCTAGAGCGTCATACCTAGTGACACTAACTAATAAGTTATCATATGTTATGACTGAAGAAGAAGAAATATTTGAACAGATTAACGGAGAAGCGAAAGAAAGCATATTGCAAAAACTATCGAGAGGATTACAGGTAATTTTTTGCAAAAAATTACCTGAATTAGAATATTTATAAGTTATCACAAGTAATGATATCTTCTTTTTCTTTTCAGGCTTCTCAGGATTTAGGAATGGTACTTGGAAATATCGTAGCATGGAGTTTTCTATATTATTCACGCGATGGTGAACAAGAAGAAACAATTCTTAAAACATTTTTTTATGAAAATGAAAGTGGAGAATGGGTTTGTGGTAGTCAATCAAATCCATATCGCGTACCTACAAATAACTATCGTAATAGTTTTTTTTTTGATTTTTAACAAAAAGTTGTTGGGTAGGTTACTAAAAAAAATTTTATTTTAGTTGATTTAGTCAGTAATTCAACCTGGTACGATGCTCTAGTAGTCTCATGCAAAACAACGGCTATGTTAACAAGCGTTTTTATAGGTTGCGGAGTTGTAGCCATGACACTTACAGCAGTTTTCACCGACAAAATCAGATTATTTTTATATCAGGTAAGTTACCTACATAAACTTATATCGAGTTTTTCACCTGATACTTTTCATTTATTTTTTTATTTTCAGGATCCGTTAGAAAGACCCCACAGCATGGCAGTTTACGAAGCAATTAAAAATGCATTTAAAGATCCTCGTTTACAATTAGCTGCTCCAATGTCTATATTTATAGGACTTCATCAAGGTTTTATTTACGCTGATTTTAGCAAGGTAAGTTTAAAAAAAAAAAAAAAAATTTTACAATCGAGTCAAAAAAAATTATAAAAAAAAGAATTTTTTTTTTTTTAGTGGTACGTGGTGTGTTCCCTCGGGATTTCAAATATAAGTTTGGTTTTTTTAAGTATGGGACTCTTACAATCGGTTGCAGCTTTTACTTTAAGTTTATTATTACAAAACGTACCTAGATATTTAGTTATAGGTAAAATATAATATTATAATATTTGATATTTTACGTCATATTATTGGATATTATTATTAATAAGAAATTTTTTTAATTATCAGTTACTGGATTTATTTTTCACTCTTGTTTACTCTTGGTTTTGCTTATGTGGAAACCATCAAAAGATGATTCGGCATTATTTTACGTCATAGCCGCGGCTTGGGGAGTTTGCAGCATAATTTGGGAAATTTTAAATTTCAGTAAGTAATTAAATCTTAAATTTTACTAACTCTAAACAACTAACCCTAAAAACATTTTCAGATGTTTTACTACACATTTATCCAGATTCAACGTGGCAAATATCATTTATCCACGGTAATTTTTTTAAATTTTTGGGTCTTTCCATTGCTTTCGGTTTTCACGGTATACTTTGCACTTGGGTTAAATTATACGCTTTGGCTTTTTTCATGGTGATCGGTATAACACCACATGCATGGCTAGAAATGAAATTAGAATCGAAAAGAAAAATGAAAGGAAATTTAATAACGCTGTGATAAAATAAAACTCGGTTTTTTATATAAAAATTAATTAAAACGGGTTTTCCGTTCGCGTTTTCCGGGTAATTATTTCCGGTTATCTTATTTACGTCACTTTTAAAACTAAATTTTTATTTGTTGTCGTATACTAATATATATATTAATATAATAATAATAATACTCATTAACGGTAATTAATTATTACCGTAAAAAATTACGTCCTATTTTTTTTTTTTGGGAAAAGTACAAATATTGTAAAGAAGATAACTACTAACAATACACCTTCTTTTTTTTTTTCGTCTATTTTATTATTTGATCGCCATTTTGTTTTTATTTTTAATTAATAATATAATTTCTAATATAATAATCATAAATTAACATTTCCTGTAGTAATAAACGTCTCATAAAAAATTTCTTATTAATAATAAATGTATTTAATTAATTGATATTTGTCACTACGTGTTGAATTTTCACGTTTTTCTTTTTCTCTATGACAAAAGAAAATTTTTTTCGATGAGCTCAAAACAACAACAAAAAAATCCGTTAGGAACAAAAATTAAACAAAAAAAAAAAAAAAAAAAAAAAAAAAAAAACGTAAATTTGTTAACGTTTGTTTGTTCGTTTGTTCGATGTCAAAAATGAAAAGAAAAATCATTTTAAAATTAAATTTTTTTTTCTTATTTATTTTTATTAAAATATTTATTCTCTCCTTTCTTTAAATATTATTATCATTATTATTAAATATTTAAATCAAAAAAAAAAAAAAGAAAATTAACATCAATACTAATTATTATAAAGATAGATATATTGCGAATATTATCATAATAAGCATTTTAAGTCAATCAATTAATTAATTAAAAAAAACAAATCCCTCATTTAAAATATATAAAATAACTTTTAAAAAAAATTGGCAGTGACAATACACACAGTAATAATAATAATAATAATAATAATAATAATTATTTATAATTACATGGTAACCTAATTAATTCACAAATCGCACTTAATTCTAACATGATTTTTTTTCCCTCGTTTTTCTTTAAATTTATCACGATAATAATAATAATAATACGGATAAGTAAATACTAAATTTTATCCTTTTTTTTCAAAGAAAATTATTTTTTATGTTGAATTAATATTATTATTATTATTTTACTATCGTACAAAATCGAATCGGAAATTTTTTTTTGTTTTGATAAACAATATCACACACACACACACATTCGCGCGCCATTTTATTTTACTCTATCTACGACTGGCTTTACAATTTAAATAACACAATACGTAAATTATCAGGCACTTATAACATTATTCATTTACTTAAATTTATAATTTGTCGGAATGTAAGAAACAAACGGAATTTTTTTTTTTTTTTTTTAAAAAGAACGTATAAATCAGAACAATAATTTTTTATGTATAAACATAATTATTTTGTATTAATTTAAAAAAAAAAAAAAAGAGAAAAAAATTCTATAAAAATAATTTCAATAACGTTTTTCTATTTTTTCTAATTATTTAATTCTAATCGCGATAATAAATATTTTTAGCCAGAAATTCATAACAGATAAGAAGTTATCTTTGATTTATATAAATTAGTATTTACTTATTTATTTATCACATTAAATCGGTGACGGTTAATAACAAATTTTATATTTAATTTCTTTTTAAACAACTTTTAATTACTCGAACGCAAAAAAAAAAAAAAAAAAAAAAAAAAAACACGACGTGTTGTAGTAACATTTTTAAAATTCAGACGATCAACGTCATCGACAATTACCGTTTACGTTTTAAATAAATTTATTTAAATTTAAAAATTTTACAAAATTATTCAAGTTTTGTGATTTTTCTAACGGTTTTCCCTACTACTCGTATCCAATAATAATTTTAAAGCTGATTAATAATAATAATAATTTTAACCTATGCCTAATTCTCTACCTTTCTCACACTCTCTCTCTCTCTTTTTTTTTTTCGGTTTGGAAAAAAGACACGTTTCGCAACAAATTAAAAATAATTTTTTTTTTTTTGTACCTGACGGAAAATCGTTTTATCCTAACCCGCCGGTGAAAAATAAAAGCTGCATTGCATAAAATAAGCATAAAAAAAAAAAAAAAAAAAATATCAGGGGTTTATATGTAAATATAGCTTAAATTTTATCAATACTTTTTTTTTCTTCGTATCGGTTAAATAATGAAGTCAATGTCACCCTATTCAATTTCATTATCAGTTTCGTATAACACAGGCTCTTCGGGTTTGGGTAATCTGGAATACTTTAAACCTAGCTTATCAGAGATATCGCTGATAATGTCTAATGCGTAATCTAATTGTTTTTTAGTGTGACCCGCGGATAAGCAAAATCTAATTCGTCCTTCCATGAGTGGAGTTGCTGGAAATCCGACTCCAACGGTTGCTATTTTTTTCCGTTTAAGAGTTCTTACCACGGCTCTGAAATTAAAACATCCCATTAAACCATCTGAATATTTTTTTAAAAGCTTTATTCGTAAGGTATTTTTGAAATCGTTACCCAATTTTTGAAAACATGTAAACGAGAAGGGGAACGACGGGTGAATTTTCATTTCCGTACGTGATGACACCGATTTGTCTGAGTCGTTTTCTAAAATATTGCGTATTTTTTGCCAGTTGTTTTATTCTTCTAGCCCCTTCGTTTGTTCCATCTTCACCCATTATAATTTTCATTGAAGATAAAATTTGTGCGGCAATCGGTGGAGACATACTACTCGCGTAACAACCCGCATGACTATTTAAACGTATGTAATCGATAAGTTTCTGCAAAAAAAAAATTCAAATTGTTTAAAGTATTTCATTAAAGAATTTGTTTAAATTTTTTTTTTTTGCAATCAATTACTAAAACACCACTACCTTTGAACCGGCTATGTAGCCACCAGCCGAACCAAAACTTTTTGTAAATGTCCCCATCAATACGTCCACATCTTTAGGATCACAATTGTAGTAATCTACGACACCTCTACCATTTTCTCCTAAAGCTCCAATACTATGAGCTTCATCCAAATATAAATAAGCTTTGTACTTTTTTTTGATTCTTAACAGTTCGGGAAGATGTACAATAGAGCCCTCCATGCTGAAAACTCCTTCCACAACAATTAGAATTTTTTTCCATGGTTCACCAGTTTTGGGTTGACCCGCAATAATACTTTGACGAATGACTTTTTCTAAAGATTTCATATTGTTGTGTTTGAAAACCTTAATTGAGGCTCCTGGGGGGAAAAGTCAAAATTAGTTGAATCACACAAAGAAAAACGACATTTGAATTATATTTAAATATTACAAATAACCAATCTTAAGCCAAATATTTTTAATGTGATAGCTTACTTCACAAAAATGAACACATTAAATTTTCTTACCTGATAATCTCAATCCTAAAATTAAACTAGCATGGTTTTTTTCATCGCTCAAAACCAAGCAGCCAGAACTGACTAGACATGGAATATTAAGAGAATTAGTAGCAAACCCCATGCCGAAAACAATGGCATCCTCGACTCCGAGAAACCTTGCTGTAGTCTTTTCTAATTCAATATGTAAAGGAGTTGTTCCATATTCACGTACAGGTGAACAAAGTGCTGCACCATATTGTAAAAGTGCTTCTTTTGCTGCTTCTGCACAAGGGCCAGAAGATTCGGCAAAACCTAAATAATTATATGACCCCAAATTTAGGCACTTAGTTTCCGTTCCTGTAAATCTAAAATGATTGAATTTTTTCAGAGAAATATAATATTTAAGTTTCACATCACTTTTGATTTACTTTTTGACTTACTGAAAACTCCACCCATAATCATGAGTGACTCTATCTTTTAGTACGACTTCTGCTCCTGGCACACTACAAATCGGTTGATTCCAACAATCCCTAACCCTTCTGTAAACATATCTCATGTAAAACTTTTCAAATGCATCATATAAAGGAACATAACCCTGTGAAAAAAAAACTATTTCAGGCACATGTTTTAGAAAAAGTTATTCTCTAAAAGTATATGCAAAAAAACTGTAAGTTTTGAAACTTTAAAACACAACTAAAAATTTAGCTTTCAGTGTTCATTATACTCGGATTATGAATGTGATAATTAAAACATTTAAATTACATTAAAACAATTAAACTTACATCTCTGTGTTTTTCAACAGCAACTTTTGGTGTAAAAAATAATTGATTAATATACCCTAAAATCATAAGAATATAAAAACCTAAATAAGTCATAACAGCAGTGTACAAGGGAACTTCTTCAAATGATTCTCTATCCTTAGGTTTTTCCATTTTTTTTTTCTTTTCTTGTACACTGTTAATGGAAAGTTTTTGTTGTAAAAATCCATTGCAATTTTCCTGAACTTCAACCTGAACAAAAAAAAAAGAAATATATTTGCTTTTTCGACGTTAATCAGATAAAGAATAATAAGATTAAAAGGATTTAACAGTATTATATTTAACGAACAAAACAATCAAGCGAAAACTTGACGTTTGAAAATGCTTATTACTTTGAAATGAAAAGTTTATTATTAAAATGAATTAATTTTATTTCAATTTATACTCTAAATGACAAAAAATTAATTTATACATTTTTTCAGTAGGTGTTTTAGCACGAAACAGCTATTTTAATTTGAAATTTTTTGTTAAAGTCCGGCAAATATCTGTAGGTTAGAACTTTATTGACATTTGAAGAACAAGTACTTCAAATTACTACCCTTACATTTTAATTTGTTTTAAAGTATAAAATTGTGGAAAAAAGGAACCGCTTATCAATATACATAAAAAAAAATCTGTTATTTCACACATAACCGCAAAGGCGGGGTCTAACTAATCACGCCACCGATTTCGCATTTTGTCAATAATAATATGAATTTTACTTACGTTAATTTCTTTATTTTTAAAATGATTCACAAATCCATTTTTATTCCCATTCAGACATTTTAAATTATTTGTAATTTTTGATGAGAAATCTTTGCGTGTGCTATTTACAGTTCCATTAACTGCCATTCTGTTTTGTTTCAAGCCCGCGCTCCTTTTGCCCCCCGTCTACTTGTTTTTTTCGAAAGATTTAGATATTTGAATTGAAAATTTTCAATTGTGCGCTTGCGCGGTTACTACGAGTTGAGTTTTAAACTTGTATAGACATCTAATTCAAACTAATTTTTATTTCCTGTGAAAAAGTTATAAAAAATTAATTTCAAACCTAATGAAAGGTTTTTATATTATTTTATAGATCAGTATTTATTTTAAAAGTAAGGTTAAGTCATTGTTTTGTTCAAGTCAGCCATATTTAATTTGCCGGTTTAAAGTTTTGAGTTTGAGTTCACAAGTTGTGGTGTTGTATGTTGCAATAAAATTAATTGTGTTTGTGACAAAATAATATTTGTTAAAACAAAATTTGTGTATTTATCATTATTATTTGAAACATATTTAATTGAATTATTTCAATATGGAATATGACATGTCTTCAGACGAGGAAAAGAAAAAGAGCCCCTCCCAAGACACTATTCCTCAGCTGCAACCTTTAAAACGTGATGTTGAGTCACTTGAAGACTTTGAATATATTAACAAAGATAATTCATCAATAAAAGATATTACTTCTCAATTTCTACTGTCGGAAACAGAAGAAAGAAATAAACGTCAGACAGGCGATTCATTCAATAAACCCTACGTTAAAGAAAACGTAGAACAGATCAGTAACAAGGATGATATTTTTAATAATGACTCATCTGATTTTTTACAAAATGAGATGGAGAAAAAGCAAAAAGAGGTAGAACCTGTTAAAGAATCATTAGATGATAAGCAAATGTATTCAAATGAGGAGAATAAAAATCTCGATGATGATTTTAATGATTTAATAAATTTTGATCAAACCAAAAATCAAAATGATGGAAGTAGAATGAATGAATCGTTTCTTGACGAGAATAATAAGAAAATCGAAGGTAAACATTTTTTTTTTTTTTTTTTTATATTTGAATGCATTTAAAATTATTTTCTCACATAATTTTTATTTATAATTCAGATTCGCACGACTACGATAAAGAATTTCAAGATTCTGAAAATGTTTCGCTTCTACCAAAAACGGATCAAGTATCATCCATGTATTCAGCAGATTTTGATGATAATTTTGGAAAAAATTCTTCGTTAGATAAGAAATCTCATAGCGAAAAAGGAATGGATATTAATTCATCTGCTAAAGATATTAATAAATCAGACTCTTTTAGAGATCATGAATATTCTCATGCTTTAGGAGATGGTTTGCATGTGAAAAAAGTTTATGAAGATGACATATCAGATAGCGATGAAGTACCTGAACCGATACCAAAAGATTATCCAGAAATAGGAGTTATAGAAGGAAAACAATTTTTATCTGCTATAGGACTTGGTGAGTTTATTTTTTTTTTTTTTAACTATAATTTATACTAACAACTAAACTATTTTTTTTACCAAATATTTTCATTATAAAAAAGAAATTAAAAATCCCACAATCGAGGTGTTGTATGCAAGATTTAAATTACTGATTTGAAAAAAATTTTTTAAAGAGTTTTAAACTGTACATATCCCTTTTATTCATATTGGCATGGTTATATTTATTCACATTATTACTCAGTATTATTACTCATGCATTATTTATATTTTATGAATATTTTCTCATATTCGATTCGCCGATGAAAACACAGATAAATGCTTCATTTTTTTTTTTTTTTTTTACAAAATTACATTTTTAATAATTTATAATATTATATTTTTTCTTTAATGTTAAAGAAAAACATATTTAGCAGTTTAAAATTTGAGAGATACCCTTTGAAAACATATTTTTTTAAAAATTTCGACTTTTTCCTCCTACAAAAATTTTTTAGCAAAATTACACTCATCCAAATTTATTTTTAAAATTTTAACAATAGTTGACATATTATTTTTAAACATGAGTAAATAAATAAATCAACGCTTTAAATATGTGTAATATGAAAAAATCAAACAAACAATTGTTGAATCAAATTACAAAAAAAATTTTTTTACCGAACAATCCATACAATTTTATTTTACCTGATTAAATTTGAAACGTTATATAATTATAGGGCACCACACAATTTTTTTTTTTAACTTTAATTTATTATACCTTTTTATGCCTTAATTTAGTTAGTAACCTTATTATTAATATTATTTTTACATAAATAATTTTTTATACTCGTTAAATTTAACTATTATACGGTTTTGTTATTACTGTCACACACACACAAAAAAAAAAATATTCACTTGCTTATTACATATCACATAGTGTAAAATATTTACTATGAAAAAAAAAAAAAAAAAAAATTGTTGAAATACTTATTATATACCTGTTTGATTTGATTTGGTTGAATTACCACCATAGTTTGATTAAAAGAAATTTATCAATTTGTTTCACTTGCTTTAATGATGGTTATGACTTTTTAACTTCTATTGTAAAGCTTTAAAGGGAAATTGGCCTCTAAAAACAATTTTGAATATTTAATTATGATTGCGAACAAAAGTGCACAAAATTAATCTTTAACTTTTTGAATGGTACAAAATAATATTAGTTTGTATTGTGAACAATGTTCATGGAGAAACAAATACTTCATTGTGTTTTGTTTTTTTTAAATTCCATTTGAATATTCATTATCATTCTCTCAATGGTTTGTCATTGTGTTCAATGACCGAGCATTTGAATTTCTTTAAAAAAATTTTTCCGAGATTAAAACAAAAAATTTTTTTTTTTTTTTGAAGTTCAAAAGGGAACCATAAGATGTAGGAAAAAAATTTTGTTTTTGTTTTTTTTTTTTTTTTTTTTTTCCCATTAACGATGCCGTGGGTTTATTCGTGTTAATTATTATTTAAGTTAAAATCATGTTGTAATTGATTACGTTTATTTACGCAAATTTTCGTATGCAAGTACTAAAAAAAAAAAAAAAAAAAAAAAAAAAAAAAAAATTTTTAATAATAAATTTAAATTATATCATTTTACAATTACAACGCTCGATATCGTATTGATTACGTATATTAGTTTGAAAAATATCCGTCAGAGGCGCTGTCGGTGGTACTATCAGTCGGGAAAATAATTCGAACGGTCAAATTTACTGCATAACATGTTAAAAGAAAATTATTATTCATTTTAAAGAGTTTAAAAATTGTAAATCTTTTTTTTTTTTTTCTTTTTTTAATTATTATTAATTTAATTATTTTTTCGTAAAGTATAAAAAATTTTAAACATAATATCGTCGGAAACGATGGATGCGAGTGATTTAAAAAATGTCGCTCATCAAATCGTTGATGAAGTACAAGAAAAGGCCAGATCGAAATTATCACAAAATGGCCTAGAAGAACAACAACCAACATCGACGACGACAACCACCGACAACAATAAAACATTTACGTTAATTAATCCTTGTAAGTCGTATGTATATATAAATAATTGCGAGGAATTAATTTAATAATTTAAATCGATAATAATAATAATGATGATGTTATTTGGTTGTTGTAAGTGATCGATGACGTATTACGCCTTTTTTTTTTACTAAAGTTAAAAATTAGATTGATTCTGTTACTGTATATGTGTCTTATTATTTCCTCCTTTATTAGATAAAGCAGAAGACAAAAAAAAAAAATTAAATTTTATATCTTATATCATTGATTGATTGTGGCTTTGAAATCTTTTTTAATTGTTGATGATGATGATGATGATGATGATTCAAACAAACAAACAATGCCACAAAATACATTGTTAATTACTATTGTGAACCTATAATAGAATATTCAAGGTTGATGAAAATCCCAAATTTATTCACACTTTGAATAAATTTTCAAAAGGCGTTGTTTTCCTTGCATTTATATTTTATTATTATTATTATTATTATTATTATTATTATTATTTTTAAATTATATATATAAATGTAATTATAAAAATTAAAAATTGTATTTTTTTCACGGCGTTATAAAAAACGTGCAGGCAAGACAACATTAGGCGTTCTTTAACCTTTTTTTAGGTTAATTGAAAGAAGAAAAGAAAAAAAAAATGAAGAACATTCTTGTTGTTGTCTTTTTTTTTTTTTTTTTTTTGTTGAACAAATGCAGTTGCAGTTAGGTTTAGGTTTTAGTATTTTGCAAAAAAAAAAAAAAAATGAAGAAAAATAAGGTATCGCGTATCCTTCGCACGCAATTATCGATTATATTTTATAATTTTGTTATTTCTTTTTGGGTTGCTTTTTGTTGATTTTTGTTTTAATTTTTAAATTTAATTTAAGGTTCGAATTATATTAATTTTAAGTTATTAGTTTTAAATAAGTGGTAATAGGAGGAGGAGGAGGAGGAGGAGGAAGGATGAAAAAGTGAATACAATACTTTGTTTGCGTTTCGCATATTCTAAAAATGGCTGACGTGTAAAAATTAAATTTTTAGACACATTTCTTTCTGCTCGGTTAATAAAAATAAATAAAAAATTTGGAAATACAAATTTAAATTTTATATTCGAGTTTGTCCAATGTTGTTTAAAATTAGTCGTAATAAATCAATAAATCAATCAATCAAATAGATTGTCGAACATGATTTTGAATATTAAATAAATGATAAATTTTTTAAATGAGTTTATTATGAGTATAATACATTAGAAAATAAAAACGAGCATAAATGATAGATTTTT